TCAGCTGCGTGTGCTTGAAGGAGCTGGGTGCACGGCACAGCAACCTGCAGAGCAGTGTGCCAGCCCAGTACACAGAGGAGCTGCCCAGATCCACTCCTGTGCCCAGCTCTGGCACCCAGCTCATTGGTGCCAATGCATACAAACCATGCCACAACGTGTGACCTCTCCCCAGCTGAATTATCAACGATGGGATTGCAGCATTGGAGGAACAGAGCAGTAGAGCAGCTGGCCTGGGGGCTTTGCTGTTACGTGGCCTGGGCAGTAACAGTTAAATCTGCATCACGTCAGCCCCATGCATATAAAAGCTAGGAGCAGGGCATGCCAAAGCCAGAACTGTGAGCACAATGTGAGCCAAGCAGCTTGTGCAACCACAGACACGCTCGATGGCTTCTGCTTGACCCCGCTGGTTTTTCAGGCTATTGGGGAGCCCTGGCATCACATTTCCAAACATTTTCTTCCTCCCATGAGAAGACAAAATTGAGCTTTTTAACACGTGAGCTGCTTCGGCTGGGAGAGCTGTGCCAGCTTCACTGTTCCTCTGCTGAAGGAAATGGAACATAACCGGACAAAACCCCCTCCTTTGGTGGCTCCCAGGGGCAGGGCTGGCACCAGCTGTGGACAACTTCCAGAACGCAGCTCTTTTCCTGGGACATGGATACAGCCAGATTTGATCAGTGGTGCTCAAGACCTTGGTGCTGTATTTTGTATTCAAAATTTGTATTTGTACATTTGTATTCCACTTGCATTCAGTAATGTTATTGCTGCCTCTGTGGCTGATACGCTGTAAAATAAGAAAATCCTCCTAAATCCCATCCATAGAATCACAGAATCGCTCGAGTTGGAAGGTATCCATAAGGATCATTGAGTACAACTCCTGGAAAATCAGACCATGTGACTGAGAGCATTGTCCAGATGCTTCTTGGGATCATTTGAGTTGCAGAATCAGGCACTGCATAAAACCATTTTGAGGTGATGGCTATCTAAAACGGACACCACACCCCACACCACATTCATTTTGAGGTGATGGTCATCTAAAACGGACACCACATCCCAGCACAGAGGCTCTGGCCTCACCACTGAAATGGCACTGAATGAGCTCAGAGTTCCTTTGGGATGAAACACCCCAAAAGCTGGGCCGGAGCATGGATCCTGTGGGTCAGAGCAAGGATCCCATGGCCAGACTGCCTTAGCAAGAGATGACACAGAGGAACGCCTGCACCTCAAGTCTCAAGGGCTTTGGTTCTTCTGCTGTTCTCAGCTCATGATAGGAATGAGGGTGAGCGCAAGGAGGGTCAGTAGAGCTGCACAAGACAGTGCAACACCTCATGAAGTCCAGATAGAAGCATCCAGATCCATGGAGGATGCCTTTCAGGAAAATATCATGCTCTTGTTCAACAGCATTGGCAGCTATAAATTTACATGATTTTCTTCTTCCCATATTCCTTCCCCATATCCCTCGATCCCATGAGTTGAGGAGTTGAAAAACAGCACATTCCAAATGTTTGCAACAGGACTGCAAGAATAAGAGTCACTTTCAGGCTAAGATCTGGATTTTCATGCTCTGGAGTTGCTTAGATCTCGGTACGCGTTGGTCCTTTCTGATGTCAATGACACATAGGAAAATTTGGCAAAAAAAAACCCTCCAGTTTATTTGGTTAATTTGGTCTTGGTGGCGTGGCTCTGATTCATCTCGTACCAAAACAAAATGAACGATATTAATAGACTCAAAATGTCAGTTAAGCAGTTTATCCTGAGCTTGTGTACTCAGAAATGAATAATCTCTTGAGGTTGAGGGACAGCGGCCAAAGCACAACGCTAGGCAGAGCAGTGGGTGGGTAAAACCAAGCCAAGCTTATTCAATTGCTAAGCACTGTTAGACTCAAGCTAACATCTAATACTAACTGAAATTAAAGCTGTAACTAATGATTATCCTGCGGACACAGCTCTACGTATTCGATTTTTCTCTCCACTGTGTTTTTTTCTTTCCAATCTGTTTTAAAACGTTGCACAATCATTAAAAAATTGGGTTGTATGTTGTATGCTCACACTGCATACAACACAACATGAGAACACTGTGCTGGGGAATGCTATAAAGCCAGTAAACAGAATCTGGCATGGTTCTGCTTATACGAAACAGGCTAAACCATCACAAAATACTTTCAACTGGAATCTTTCACTTATGGGTTCATGGACATTCACCAAGATTCCCTGTCCAAGATGCCAAGTTTTTGTGGGATGGGGAAGGAAGCCTCATAGGTAACTGGTTCATTAGAAAATAAACAAACAAACAAGCAGGATAAGCAGTTTCACTGCTAGTCCCCAAGGAAAGATGTTAGCAGATGGGTCTGGACTGGATGATCACTTGTTTAACACTGTTACAAGCTCTGAACAAAGAGCAAGCAGTGACGTGACAATGTTCACAGGAAGGACAAAATTACCCCAAATAACTGTGCCTGAAACCAGGGGAAGATCTCACAGCACAGCACAATGAGTAGATACAAAGGCAGGTGGGATTTCATGTCAAGAAGGACCATCTTGGAAAAATTCTACTGATCATACGTATAAAGTTACAGGCTCTAAATCAGCTGTTACCTCTCAGGAAAAGAGGCCTGGGGTTATTGTTGGTAGCTCTGTGAGAAGATCAGTTTAGCGCTCAGCAGCAGCCAAATCAAATGCTGGCAGCTATTCTGAAAGGAAGGGAAACCAAAACACGATGATGTTGCTGCATAAATCTATGTTGCACCAGATTTGATGACTGATGCAGTTCCGTCCACTCCGTCTCCAAAAACGTATGTCAAACCAGTCAGGTTACAGGGAAGGGTCACTGAGGTCAACAGAGAAGACAGCTCCTGCACCAGGGAAGATGAAAAAGCCAAGGACACTTGCAAACTACGTGCTCGGTGGGGCAGGCATGATAAAGAGCTCCTGAGTCATGGATATTCCAAGGGAGGCTAAAGAATAATCATACAGCATACAGGTAGGACAAGAGCTGGGGACACCAAAGAAATCCCAAAGCAAACAAGATGAAGCAACTTTTTCACGTAGCACATCGGCTGTGGGTGAACTGGCCAGGGCAGGATGCTGCAGAGACCAAGCAAAGGAAAAGGTTTCAAATTGGGGCTATTTGATTAATTAATGGATATGGGGTACATTAGTCCTATTAGCCATGATAGGCTGGTGCTCTTCAGGTTGAAAGTGGACCATTAACCACAGAAAAGCTTCTACCCTGTGTGAAATGATTTCAATGCATGATTTCTAAAGCTGCCCTCATCTCATTATTCTATGGAGCATTACACCTCTCTTCTTCATTTCTTTCTTTCATTCTTTCTTTATTTCATCCTCCCCTTTCCTTCTGTCTTCCTTTCTTATTTTTTTCTTTATTTCTTCCTGCCTTCCTTCCCTTCTCTGTTTCCTTCACCTCACCGCTAAACTCTATGGAATACCATACATTTCTTCATTTCTCTCTTTTTCTTTCATCCACTCCTTTCTCTCTTTCTGTCTTCCTTTCTTATTCTGTCCCTCCTTCCTTCCTCTCATTGTTTCCTTCATCTCATTACTAAATGCTATGGAATATGTTTCTTCATTTCTTTCTTTCATCCTCTCCTTTCTTTCTGTCTTCCTTTCTTATTCCTTCTCTCCTTCCTTCCTTTTATTAATCATCTCCTTACTAAACTCTATGGAATGCCACACCTTTCTTCATTTCTTTCTTTAATCTCCCCTTTCTTATTCTTTCTTCTTCTTTATTCCTTCCTTCCTTCTTCTTTTTCACTGCTTCCCTCAGCTCATTATTAGCTATGGAATACGTTTCTTCATTTCCTTCATCCCCTCTCTTTCTTTATTCCTTCTTTCTTATTTCTCATTGCTCTTCATCTAAGAGCTGCTCTTCTCATTCCTGTTCATCAAATTACTAAACACTGGAATACAATGCTTTTCTTCCTTTCATTGTCCCCTTCCTTTCTTTCTTCATTATCCTTCCTTTATTCCTTCCTTTCTTCTTATTGCTTTTCCTTTATTCCTTCCTTCCCTCCTTTCTTCTTCATCTCACTATTAAACACCACGGAAACCCTTAGACGGGGGTTAGGATTGTCAGGGTCGGGGTCCTGATCCTCCTCACCCAGGCTGAGCTCCAGCCCATCCCATTCAGTTTAGTTCCAGCAGTTTTAACCCAACATCCACCCCACACTCCGTCGCTAAATGAGGAATTATAGAAGCCAGCAGCAGCCAAGCCGGAGGGAGATGCAAACAACACCCAAAGGCGAGAGGTTCTGATGGCATGGAGGAATTCTGCTGGATTTGGGACTGACAGCTGATCGGCGCATTCATTACTCGCTCCTTTACGGCACTTTGAACGCCGTGTTAAAAGCAGGACGGGTTGAACGCCGTGCTGAAGCCACGTCTCTGCACACAGACGCGCCCGTGCACGTCCTGCGCCGGGCCGGGCCCAGCACCACCTGCTGCTCCGGGCCGCTCTCCTCCTCCTGTAGGAAGCGAAAAGCGAAACCGACCTCCCTTCCCCGTGAGGGGCTCACCGAGCTGCCTTAGGCCGGGCCCCGAAGGCCCCACACGCGCTCCCTCACAGAGCAGAACCGCCAGCCCGCCACAGCCGGCCCGCACTGGCGCCTCGCTCGTCCGCAGCCCCGCTAGAGGAATCGGAGGGCGGGGCTTCCCCTCCAGTCGCGCTTCCATTGGTCGCCGCTCCCCGCCGTCTCCTCCCATTGGTCCCTCGTGGCTCTCCGCCCGCCCTCCCGCCGCCCGCCGATTGGCCGCTCTCCCCACCCCCTCCGCCTACTCCTCCTTCGCCTGGCGGACGGGGGCGCGAACGTGCGGCGCGGGCTGTTCCCTGGCCGGGGGGCGCGTGCGGCCTCCACGTGGGGAACAGCACGTAGTCAGCGCGGGCGGGGGCGGGGGCGGGGGGGGGGCACGCGGCGTTCCCGCTCAGCGCCGGGGCGGGGCGGGGGGCACGCGCCAGGGACGGCCGTAATGGAGGGGGGGGGGGAGAAGGAAGAAGAGACGGCTATGGGGGGGGTGCGGGGCTGGAGGGGCAGTAGTGGGTTTGGGATGTAAGAGAAGAGCCGGCTGGCGGCCGGAGGTGCGGGTTTATTTGCTTCGTTCGCGATCACCGCGTTGGCTGAGCCGTGGGGTGTGAGCGAAGCCCGGTGCCCAGCGAAGCGTTTTAGGGGAGAGATTCCTCCATCCCCCTCCGCTGTAATAAGGCTGCAATAACGCCGAGCGCAGCCCGGCCGCTCCTCCTTCGCTTCCTATTAGAGCCGCTCAAGCGGAGGAAAACCCCTCCGAGGTCCCCCGAAAGGCAAATCTCCCCAAGGCGTTTTAAAACACACCAGCCGTTCCCGGCCCCGCGAGGCTCGGGGAGGAACCGCCGGGACGGGAAGAAGGGAGAAAAAGAAGGAGAGCCGCTCCCTCCTCCCTTCCTTCCTTCCCCCGGGCAGCGCGGCCCCGGCGGGGGCGTGCATGGAAAGGCCGCGGCGGAGCCAATGCGCAGGAAGGGGCCGAGCATGTGGGGAGGTTGTTTACACCAGCCCGGCCCCGGGAGCTTTAACCCGGCCGGCGGCGAGGCGCGAGGAACGGCCCGGGGACGGCGTGAGTAGCGGGTAGAGCGGGGCGCCCGCAGCACCGCGGGGGTGGGGAGGGGGGGAAAGGAGAGAGCGGGGTGGGGAAACGGCGTGGAAGGGGGGAGAGAGAAGGAGGGAAAATGGAAGGAGAGAGGAGGGGGGTGGAAAAAAAAAAAAAGAATAAAAATAAAATGGAAAAAAAAAAAAAAAAGCCAGGAGGGGGCGGGAGCGGCGGTTCCCGCCCGGCCGGGCCGCGCCGCGCCTCCCTCCCTCCAGGCCCCGCTGCTGCTGCCGCCGGTGGCCGCGTATGTGCGGCGGGGACGGCCGGGGGAGGGGGTTCGGGGAGCCCCGCCGAGGTACAGTGCGACGGGGAGGGGGGATCACAGAATTGGGGGGGCGCGGCTGCCGCTTCCCGCCCGCTCTGCGCGAACGGGGGAACCTCCAACCCCTCCCCCCGGGTGCCAAACCGCTTCGAGTCCGCGCCGCCTTTCGCTGCAACCCCCCCTCCGCCCGCCGGCATTGCATGCACTCGTGTTGCACTGTGCGCACCCCGTTGCACTGTGCGCACCCCGTTGCACTGTGCGCACCCCGTTGCACTGT